AATTAATTGATTGAATTTTTTAAAATGAATTAAAACAATAATGTATGTACAAATATATTGTATGCTTGTATCTTTAACTAATGACAGTTTAATGTAATACACATTTACATAACTCTTTTATGACTTCTTATGCTCTTATGCTATGGCTCTCTGGCTTCTTGACATACAGTCTGGCCATTCAAGCATAATCAAAGAAAGCTTAGAAAGAACTCACGTGTGCTCAAAGTATTGGACATTTAAGATTTGCATTTCAAACGAGAAGCTTAGCATCTAATATTTGTCTGCTATTTGCGTGCACAACATGAAAACAATGTGATTCACATTATCAAAATTTATAATACCTACAGAAAATAAATTTGCTTCGCACACGGGAGTCAAAAAGTATTCCATTTCTTGCCCAAAGACAAAATTCCTTATGTTTCTATGGTAATATTTTAATGAATCACTATTTACCTATAAAAGAACAAATACGGGTATGTTCATTACTTCATCAAATATATGTACATTTTTTGATGAACAGTAATCTACTGAGTACTTATATCAACAAAAATATTGAAGTGATTATACTGTACATATCACATCTCAAACACAATGAATATTACAGATGATTTTAATATAAAATACTTAATATTGGCAGCAGCACTTTAAAATGATTTTAGTTATTTTAGACAGATAACAAATGATTGATAATTTTTAAGTAAAATTAATTACCGTACATATAACCAATGTAAATATCCTTGTCAAAAAACAGGACTGGATGAGGCTGTCATAGGTCAGTCCAATAAAAAAAATTGGTCATGCTGTGACTATTATATTATAAAAATATGCAAATAAATATGCATAATTTATGCAAATGAGCATGCATGATGTTTCAAAGGGTTGATCAAATATCCTGGGAAATCTCATCATTCGATTCTGACAGTAGTGTCGGTGCGTGGAAATTAATTTTCCAGAATGATATAGAAATAGAAAAGTGCCACTCTCAGCCAGAGTGAGAAATGTTTCTACTCTGATTTAACACTTCTGCTATTGCCAATTTTTCCCATTCATTTCAGATATTCGGGAAGGCTTTCAGCATGTGATGCGTTAAACTCAAAATTGTTGACAAAATGGTTTATGGG